TGTCTTGTAATATAATGATTTCATTCCCTGAGAACTTGATTTTCATCACTGAAAACTATTTGAAAACTTCTCACTGGTGATTTTTTTTTATAGCCAAACCCTCCCTATTCGAATGAAATAAAATGTGGTGGAAATGATCCAGCACTGTTAATGAAAGGTGTTTCATCAGGAAAAGGTCTGTTAACACTCTGAAGATTATTACCAGATTTGTGAACTTGGTATTACTAGACTTACCAACTTGTTGAAGACATGACATTAGTAAGAACATAAAGCTACGAATTGCTTTCTGAGCTCAGCCAGTAACTAGATTTCAGCTTCAGCGTAGTATGTAAAAAGGGAGATTAGACTGAATTATTCCTAATTTATATTTTCACAATATGTCTGTCACGGTACAAATTTTTTTAATGTAACATCTTTGTAACATAAAATGGATAAAGAGAAACTAATTTTGAGGGCCTTTTGTAAACTTACTCTTTTTTCTACTCTGTTGTAAACTGAAGTTGGAAGAAGTTAGATCTACCCAAGATTATCAGTCTACTAAGTGTGAGCTCAAGTTCAGAGACCCTTTTGACTTCAGAATTGTAAAGGAAAATAAAACTCCCAGGACCTGTCATCTCCTTATGCAAAAGAGAAGGTCAAGCCTGGAGGAAAAGTCAGTTTAACCCCCCTCCCCCAAATGAATAGCGGTTAGTAATATTATGCATTAGCTGGATTCCCATGCAAAGTCAGGCTGAGAGAAGTGAAGGGATGTGTCCAAGATTGTACAACTGGCGACAAGCACATTCAGGTTTCTACCAGGTCTGTTCAGGCAATGAACAGGCGTCAGAGATCTATGAAGGACTACCCCCATGGATCCAAGGAAATTCTTTGCAGACCTTCTATAAACAAGGGCATGCAAAGTGTAACTTTGGGTCTGTAGGCTAAGTCTAGCTCCTAAAACGAAGATTACACATTAATCATGTTTATTACAAGTTTATCTTTCTTGGTGCAAAACAGGGACAGGCTCAGATCAATCATTTTCCACAGATTGAGGGACGTCTGCATAATTGATTCTCTCCTACTCCTGTCTCTCAAAATTCACCTTAAGAAATGTAAAATGTCCATTTCCTGGACACTAACTCACATCTCACAAGAATGTGACCATTTGCTTCCACTGCCCATCCCTCTGCACTTTTTTCTTTCTGTATGCTCTCTTCCTTTAAATACTGCATTCCTAGATCCCTCTTCAGATAGCATAGGTCACAGATGTACCTGTGGTCTGTGCTTTTCCTGGGCACATCCTCAAACGTTAGCTTAACAAACCTTCCTTGATTGAGATATTTGCTCCATTCACTTATTTGGGTTTGCCAGAGTCTGTAGTCTTTCTGCTCTGTTCATACTACTAAGCCTAAGGACAGGAATTGGGGCACTTGGATCCTGGCGGTGTGTTGTGGGATTACTGAACCCCAGGATTAATGACATGTGTTCTTGGAGCTTCCCCAGCATTTGAGGAAGAAAGTTGTTTTCTTTTTTTTTTGAGACAGAGTGTCACTATGTTGCCCTTGGTAGAGTGCCATGGTGTCACAGCTCACAGCAACCTCAAACTCTTGGGCTCGAGTGATTCTCTTGCTTCAGCCTCCCGAGTAGCTAGGACCACAGGCACTCACCACAATGCCCAGCTATTTTTGGTTGCAGTTGTCATTGTTGTTTAGCAGGCCCGGGCTGGGCTTGAACCCTCCAGCCTTGTTGTATGTGGCCCATGCCCTACTCCCTGAGCTACGGGCACTGAGCCTGAGGAAGAAAGAGTTTGATTTGTACTTTGTGGGAGAGGTGTGGATATAGGGTTTTTTACATTGTTTTACATGTAGGACATGGTATAAAACATTTTCACATTAAAACACTCAAGTCTGTATCATGAAGTGCAAAAGTCACACAAATTTTGTGTCAGGGCATTTAAGATCACAATTTAACTTTCTTCTCTTTTAAAAAAATAATAGTTTTATTGAGCTATAATCCACATACTATTTAATTCACCCACTTAAAGTACATAGCTTTATGGAGTTATACAACTTGTCACTGAAGTCAATTCGGTAACATTTTTATCGCACCAGAAAGAAACCTCATACTCATTGAGATTACTACCCATTTCCCCCCAACTCCCAGCCCTGTGTAACTATTAATATACTTTGTCTCTATGGAGTTGTCTGTTCTAGGCGTGTCATCTAAGTGGGATCAAACAATAGGTGATTTTGTGACTGTCATCTTTCACTTAGTGTGATGTTTCAAGTACTTTATTCCATTTGTAATGGTTCTTCTAAGAACTTAGGTTTAAAAACAGTACTTGGTGGTGTATGAGTTTCAAGCACAGTGTTATAAAGAAGTTTTGGTACTGTAGAACAAAGTCAGTGAGAATAGAAAGCCTGTCTTTGTTTTTCCAGAATGACACCTGATTTATCATTGCTTGTTTATGCTCCTATATGCATATGAGTAGTATATATTGGAAAAGCATAAAGCCTTTGTTCCTTGATACCTGGCACATATGTATGTTTTAGTTTTATGCACTTAGTTACATTAGATATTTGTCAAACGATTTTTAAAAAATGATCTAGAGGAGTGTTTGCAGAGCAGGACTTCATGTGTGGTAAGTAACTTTAAGATATTTTAGAAACACAAACCATTCCTGAAGAGCTAGTATAAGTCACCAGGGTGAGTGATGATTATCTTTTACATGTCATTATAAATTTCAGAAAGAGTGTAAGAGCAGGGTGTGGTGAATGAAATTAAAGTTGGCAGTTATTTCTGTCATAATGTCATAGTAATTTGTATACAGGTTGGGCCTGGATATTAGGGAGGCTTGGATGCCAGGCTGAGGTATTTGGACTTTTTATATAGGTAGGGGGACCCTTTGAATATTTTTTTATTGGTGTGTCAACAAACAAAGCTGTGCCCAGGAAGATTAAGTTGGCAGCAGATGTTGGGTGAGAAAGGGAAAGGTGAGTTGAAAGGCAAAAATGCTCTTGAGAGGAGGAAATGAGGACTGGAAATACTGCAGCCGGAGAGCTGGGAAAGAGTGGGGGCTGTAACAAGTGTTCTAAGCGGGTTCCTGGCCTTCCCCCTGGACTGCCTGGATCAGAATCTCCTAGGCGTAGCAGCTAGACAGCTGCACTTTGAAGCTTCATCAGCGATGCTGTGTCTACCGTGCTGTCTTATGTGATGTGGGGATAGGAGTGACTGGAGTGTCCACTGATGGTGTACGTGAAAGCTGTCTGGGTGACTGAGAGATGAGGAAGCTGTTTTAAAGGATTAGGAAACTAAGGACGGGTCTGACATACATCAGATGCGACTCGCAGCAGAACTGCTTGTGCAGTGGGATTGGCTTGCAATGTAGAATAATTATCCAGGGAGAGCATCAGGGCAGTAAATAAAGAATATTTTTTAAAAGTAGATTTAGGAGTATCTTTTCTCCATGAGAAGATACTTTGCCACCTATTTACTATTTTAACTCTACTCAGTTATTGGAAACAAATATTTGGTTAAGGAGAAGTAGCTATACTCAGAAAGAAACCAGTTAATCCAGTCAACCCAAGCTTTCATAGAGACCTGTATGCCCTTGACTCAAGTTCTAAAATTCCCAGAACCGAGGGCAGCAACTGGCATGATACCGTCTGATCAGACTCAGTTAAGACCATCTGAGGGAGAATTTGAAGCTAGGTTGTGCATAAACATTGTCAGAGGGCACAAAATCCTGGATTAAAAGTTACCAAGATTGTTGGTAACTGAAATGGCTGAGGCCTGACGGGGGCTGTGTCTGTGGAAGTGCCTGTATTCCTCCTCTGCCACTTAGTAGGATCGCTGCTCTGTCCTGCGGAGGGTGGTTTGATTTTGTTACTCTGCATAGTTTTTGGCTTCTTCAGTAGCACCAGCAAACCAAGCATCTACCTCAGTTTAAAAGGTTAGCGATTTTCCAAACCCAGAGATCCTCACAAATAAAGAGATTCTGTGCCTTTGGTCTTTTTGATTTTTTAAAGTCAGTGTTGTTTCTTTTCAGAGGATCACAAGTTTAGTAAGCATTTGAGTGACTGCAAGTATACGGGTCATCTAGGTGGTATGTCAGAAAGAAAGAGGGAAAGTTTCGGTCTTAAGTATTTGCAGTCTAGTTGAGCGAAGGAAGAGTACATAATAATGATGTGTGAACTTCATAATTTATTAGCTGCTCCTCTGACCTGGGGCCTCAAGAAGCCCTGTGGCCATAGCCATACCCAGCACCTTCGTACCCTGAAATGATTAATTCACTCCTTTCATTCTGACCACAACGCTGTATCTTTGCAACTTCCCCTAAAAGTTACTCTGAAAACATCAGTTCTTTGACGTCATCAGAACCTTCAGTCCAAAAACCTCTCTACTTCTCACATAAGCTTATCAGTTTCAGCCTAGATGCTATAGTTCTGTAGTCCCTGAACCCAGGCCCCTGGGCTATCACTGGTTTGTGGCCTGTCAGGACCGGTGCTGCACAGCAGGAGGTGAACAGCAGGTGAGCCAGGGAAGCTGGGTCTGTATTTACAGCTGCTCCCCACTGCTCACACACTGCCTGAGCTCTGCCTCCGGTCCCCTCGCTGCTGGCATTGGATTCCCAAGGAAGCATGAACCTTACTGTGAACTGCATGTGCAACAGATCTAGGTTGTACATCCTTACGAGAATCTAGTGTCTGAGAACTCAGACACCACTGGGGTGGTGATGCTAATGCCAAGTGTGGCTGCAAACACAGGTTGGGACCGTCTAGTTGCAGGGAAACAAGCCCAGGGCTCCCACTGATTCTGCATTATGGCAAGTTATATAATTATTTAATTATATATTACAATGTAATGATAGTAAAAATAAAGGCATAGTGAATGTAATCCTCACCCTACCCCTGGCTGTGGAAAAACTGTCTTCCATGAACACAGTCTCTGGTGCCAGAAAGGTTGGGGACTGCTGCTCTAGCTCAGCTCAGCTGCTCTTTAGTCAGCATCTTCAGCTCCCTTAGTCATCCTTCGGTTGCTGGCAGGATCTCAGGCTGAGGTAAGATCCTCTGCCTATTTCATTCTTAGCCTGTGCCAGGGATGCGAGTTGCTGGGGAAAACCAATCGTGTGTGCTGCTATGACAGCCGTGAGCACTGCCCACGGATCCTACCATTTCCTTTTACTCTTCTGCCTTGTCTACATTGACCTTTGCAGACATTCTGTGTGTTTCTCAAACCTCTAAACCTTTCACCACTTGACTCCCTCTCAGTAATTGACCCCACCTCCAGCCACACAAAGACTGCTGCTGTCTTCACGTCCTGCCCTCAAACCTGTCAGCTCACCTGGCCTTCCTCCTCTCTCTTGTAATGGAAGAGGCATCCTGCCCACTTGAAGCCAATCATCCTACCAATATCACATGTTCCATTTTCTTAGGGACCAAAGAGGATAGAGACTAAAGGCAGGGAGATTTATTAGGGGACAGCACTATTTGTAATCAATGGCACAGCTCTGAGCGAGGGTATTAGGGAGAAGTATCTTTGACAGTCAAAGGGAAGTTTGAGAGGGATCTGGTGATGAAGTGCAGTTCAGCAGCTGTTAGATTTCTTCAGAAGTTACTGTGGTGTCCAAGTCCCTCCTAGGCTTTGTCTGTTAGTCAACCTCATGTAAATAGGTGCAGGCTAAGCGAGGCCTTTTTCTCAAATAGCATTTGTTTTTTTAATTGCCTTTTCTATGCCAGTTTTTTTTTCTTTTGAGACAGAATCTTACTTTGTCACCCTTGGTAGAGTGCTGTGGTGTCATAGCTCACAGCAACCTCAGACTCTTGGATTTAAGTGATTCTCTTGTCTCAGCCTCCCAAGTAGCTGGGACTACAGAGGCCTGCCACAATGTCTGGCTATTTTTAGAGATAGGGTCTCACTCTTGCTCAGCTTGGCCTCAAACGCTTGAGCTTAGACGGTCAACCCATCTTGGCCTCCAGAGTGTTAGGATTCCAGGCATGAGCCACCATGCCCGGGCTGTGTCAGTATTTTTCAACAAGATCTGGCAATGAGCCAGTATGATAGAATTTCCACTATTTTGTGGGTCAAAGGAACTCTGGGATACTATTCATTAAACTAGAAATATCTCCCTGTCTGGAGCCTCTGGAAGCTTGGGATCACATGTATTTGGTACAAAAGAATCATTGTTGTTTCTTCATCTGTTGTTATTGTTATTAAGTGTTCAGAAATAATTTCTGTTGCTGCAGATGAGCAAGACAGAAAACAGGAGTATGTACGTGGAATATTGGAAGGGCCCATTCTCCTTCAGAGCGTGAAGGACGGGGCAGGATGTGTATAAATAGGAAATGAGACGAGAGAAGTACTTTTTATTTTTTTGAATTTTAGCTTTAGTTAGTTATCTTTAAATATATGAAATTATTTAATTTTTAAATTAATGTAGGTAAAGCTGGCATATAAAAGGTTTATAAATGTTGGTTCTCTGTCTGTTGGCTAATTTCTGAAACTTAATCCGAATCAAATAGCATGAGTACTTAAGAACTGTGTTTTTGTATTTTAGGAACCCTGATTGCTGCCCTTCACCGGGTTCATTATGAAGTTACTAGTAATACTTTTGTTTTCTGGACTCGTAATAGCTTGTAGAGGTAATTTGCCACCCAAGTTACTACTGGTGTCCTTCGATGGCTTCAGAGCTGACTATCTGAAGAACTATGAACTTCCTCATCTCCAAAATTTTATTAAAGAAGGTGTCTTGGTAGAGCATGTTAAAAATGTTTTTATCACAAAAACATTTCCAAACCACTACAGCATCGTGACGGGTTTATATGAAGAAAGCCATGGCATTGTTGCTAATTCCATGTATGATACAGTCACAAAGAAATATTTTTCTGACTCTAATGACAAGGATCCTTTTTGGTGGAATGAGGCTGTCCCTATCTGGGTGACCAATCAGCTTCAGGAGAACAGATCAAGCGCTGCTGCTATGTGGCCTGGTACTGATGTGTCCATTCATAATACCACACCTTCCTATTTTATGAATTATAGCTCCTCAGTGTCCTTTGAAGAGAGACTAAATAACATCACTATGTGGCTAAACAATTCGAGCCCACCTGTCACCTTTGCAACACTCTATTGGGAAGAACCAGATGCGAGTGGCCACAAATACGGACCTGAAGATAATGAAAACATGCGCAGGGTGTTGAAAGAAGTAGATGGTCTTATTGGCAACTTAGTCCAAAAACTCAAGATGTTGGGATTGTGGGAAGATCTTAATGTGATCATTACAAGTGATCATGGGATGGCCCAGTGTTCTCAGGACAGAGTGATAAATTTGGACTACTGCATCAGTGAGTCAAGCTACACTCTTATAGATTTGAGCCCAGTTGCTGCAGTACTTCCCAAAATAAGTAAGTAAACTTTTAGCTGAGGGATACTATTTGAAAGGGGCAATTGATAGAGGAGGGAGAGTTATGTAAGAGTGGAGTTCTGATTTTTTGTATAGGACCATATGATCATACTTACTCAGAGAGGGATTTTAGGTTTTTCCCCAAATTTCAAGTTTTGGGAACCTTATGATTGATGTTCAAAGCAATTATTTCTTTGCTTATTGATATATTTCCTAATTTTTCACACTGTTAGAAAAAAGGAAATTTTTATCCTTAACCATCTTGGATTTTAGTGTGAGATACCTTTCTTATGCTGATCAAAGAATTAGTACTTAGTAGTAATGTAATTAGTTTTTATACTTAGGAAGCTAAACATTATCTTCTGTCTATAAAAGTCCACCTGGATAATCCACAAAATGAAATATGCTTGGAAAAATTGTATTCAGTGCTCCACACTGTCATATTATCAGTGCTGTTTTTTAAGAATAAAGTGATTTTGATAGAGGATGTTGTATAGAATTATTCCACTTAATTCTAGTCATGCATACTTTTTCCTTACCAGTCAAACATAATTTTCCTTTACTATTTCCTTTTTCTTTCAGATAGAACAGTAGTTTATGATAAAATGAAAACCTGTCACCCTCACATGAATGTTTATCTCAAAGAAGACATTCCTAACAGATTTTATTACCAACATAATGATCGAATTCAGCCTATTATTTTGGTTGCTGATGAAGGCTGGACAATTGTGCTAAATAAATCCTCACAAAAATGTAAGTATTTATTTAGGATTTTTCTGTTGTATCCTTCAGACACATCACACGCTGTGATACTGTGCTGTTAAGAAGGTACTTTGATTCAGAGATATTTACACAGAATAATTCAATTTCCAGCTAGATAATTGTCAGGTCTTCGTTTGATAGCAATAGCAGTAACCACAATTTCAGGATAGACAGAAGGGTAGGTAACCTTAAGGGTGAAAGCGTACTTTCACCTTCTTACCAAAAGTGCAATTATTGTCACTAATTTTCAGGATTAGTTCTCTTGATCTGTAGATCGAAATAAAGAAACAAAAGAGAAAAAGTAAAAGTACCAGGGGAGAGATTAGCTAGTTCAAATGTTCTTTTCTTGTTATGTTTAAATTAAAAAATTTGTTTGAGTAACCTTAAGCCTTTCTCCAACAGTAAAATCATTTACCTGAATGCTACAATTATTTAGAATACTGGGCAACAACTGCAGAATAAACAAACAAACAAAATCTGTGTAAACAAAATAGACATATCATAATCTCTTCTAAACCTGAGAAAATGTATGGAGGGAGGTACAGATCTCCTCAACTAACGCTTATTTTCCCATTCAATTTAAATGCTTTTTTAAAAAATCTGATTTTGTAGTCTATAGCAGGGGTCAGCAAACTTTCTATGTGAAGGACCGGATAGTAAATATTTTAGGCTTTGTGGGCCAGCTGATCTCTGTCTTGGGTACTCCACTCTGCCTTCTTAGTGTGCAAGTGGCTAGGGACCTTATGTAAACGAATTGAAGTGCGTGTTCCAGCCAAATTGTTTGCAAAAGCAGGTGGAGGACTGAATGTGGCCTTGAGCTATAGTTTACAGATTCCTGATGTACATCAACTGAAGCTTCAGGGAAGGATAAGAGAGACTTAGGGTCTGGGGGGTTTGTGTGTTATTTGTATTTATGTAAATAAGTATGTATTTGTATTTATGAAAATAAAGCCAAGCATAGAAAAGAGAACATTAACTGTCCACAATCCTTCAATACAGAAATACAAACAAATGCAAATTATGAGTTTTCTCCCATCTAATCTTTTTTCATTGCAAACATAATACATATTTTAACATAGAAATCATAATATCTATATGTATTGTTATATTCTGCTTTCTGTCATGTTGATCATATTTATCATTTTTATTGTGAAATATTTCAAATATACAACTAAAGAATATAAAAATATCAATATACTCCTCACTCCGTTAAAATATGAAAGTGAGAGCTTATTAAATGCAACTAGTGTACCTTAAAAGCAGTCTTTGTTAAAATAAAGCCAAAAATGAGCAATCTAGTATTGGAATTATATTAGGGACCATCATGTGTTTTCCTTTGAGTCAGAATTTTCTTGGTGTTACAAGTTCCAGTCATGTGAAGTTAGACTTCACATTCAGTGCAAGAATCCCTTCTGTAACATTTTCAGTGGTCTGGCCCTCTGGATGTTGGGTGTTTACCAACTATAATTAAACCAGTAGTACATTATGTCTTCCTACCTCTTATCACAGGACAGTTGAGATAGGTAAGGCTGCAGGTGAGCCTCTTTCCCCTTCTTCCTCACTTCTGCTCTCCCCAGTTATATAAGACCCTCAGCCTGACCACTCTCATTATCACTTGTGCTGTTTGCAGTAGCTTTTGCAAACAGAGATTGACAGGTGCTGTAAGTGGGACCAGAGCTAAAAGTTAAGTACATCAGGTTGAGAAGTAATGTTAAAGTCTAAAGCCATGACTGACTGGGAAAAACAGCGTGGGCGTGTGAAACAGGAGATGTGGCACAGTTGAAGAAGTAGAGATTTTTATTTCTGACCCCTGTTTGGTCCAACTAAACAGAATCTTAAAGGTAATCTAATGTATGTACACTAGAAGAGAGTTATTTTGTAGTAAAAGGGACGGTCTTATTTACTAACATCATTTTGTTCTTTTTCAGTAGGTGACCATGGTTATGATAATTCTTTGCAGAGTATGCATCCATTTCTAGCTGCCCATGGACCTGCATTTCATAAAGGCTACAAGCACAGCACAATTAACATTGTAGATATTTATCCAATGATGTGCCACATCCTGGGATTAAAACCACATCCCAACAACGGAACCTTTAGTCATACTAAGTGCTTGTTAGTTGACCAGTGGTGCATTAATCTCCCAGAAGCCATTGGGATTGTTATCGGTGCACTCATGGTGCTAACCATGCTAACGTGCCTCATAATAATCATGCAGAATAGACTCTCTGCACCCCGTCCGTTCTCCCGCCTTCAGCTACAAGATGATGATGATGATCCTTTAATTGAGTGACACATGTTGGGGTTTATACAAAGTGTCTTTGATGAATCACAAAACTAAGGATTCATCCATGGAATGGTGTTGCAACTATGAAAAAGAATACTTTGGAAGACAAAGAACAAGCATGCTAAAATCATTTTGTTTTGTTTGTCCTTGTGTTTTCTTTGGTGACTTTGCTAATGCAAATAACCCTTGACCATAGTAAAATTGCTAGTAAATCATTACTTAACACCATCTATGTCTCTAACTAAAAATAGCTTTTGGGAAAAATACTCCCTTTTGCCTTCCTTTTTTTTTTTTTTTTTTGCATTGAATATATAATACATCCTTAAATGAAATACATCAAAATTTAGTAGGCATGCTTCTCTAACAAATGTATATATTTGTAAACTTAATGACAGAAATCTTGATACAATTCATGAATTTTGTGTATCAGGGAGAAGATGTTTTCTATATTTTTGTATTTACCTCTACTTAGTTTATATCCCAAGTAACCTCTTGAGGTAGGAAACTCTCTGTGATGGTTAATAAAATTGATTAACCGGGCAGAAAAGACCTAGCATATGAAGAAATTATTTTAAAGGAAGCTATTAAAAAACAAAACCAACTAAGACATGTGGTAAAAACCTGAGTTGTCACCATTGTGTCTTAAGTTATTGAAGTCTCAAAAGTGAAATCTTTTGAAGATGATTGCAAATAAGAAATTCAAAGAAAGTAGAGAGAAGGACTTTCTTTCATTTGTGCATAATGCCTTTGTGTGAGTTACATAGTTGTGTATGTGTGTATACAAGTGTGTTTATGTGTAGGTGTGCAGACCTTGTGTGACTTACGACGGGAGGAGGTCCAAGGCGGGCTGTGGCCAGGCTTCCACATGTCCAGAGAACACAGCTCTCAGGAAAGGTTATTTTTGCACTTCATATTTGTTTACTTTCTCCTCAGTTACAACCTAAAATCAGAACTTTAAAAATTCATTAATTCTTGTTATCATTTAACTTTCTTAGGTTGCTTATTGTAACCTTAGGTATCCTAGTGCTACAGAAAAATTTATGACCTGAGTACAAACCTGACTTTGATCAGATCAGAGTAAGGAATGAAGATTTTTCTATTTACTTTAGGGACTTTACTCCTTGCTTTTTTGGCTGTAGAGTAGTTAAGAAATTTAAACTGTGATTTAGTACGTTCTGCTCCTTGACACCATTCACGTGTTACCAGCAGAATGGCCTCAGCGCCACTCTGCTTCTTTTTTACCTTTAGTAGTTAATCACAGAAATAATCACTCTGCTCCTGTCTTTAACATGTTCGTTCACAGCTAAGGATTTGTTGCAAAGAAGTGTCATCCTACTTTTGCTAGGTGGTACCTTCTAATAATCAAAATTAATATAAAGAAATTGAGTTGAATAGTAGACTAGATTATATTTAGTAGAGGGAAAATTAGGCTCAAGAACCCATTTGTCAGCACCAGAGGCAAGCAAGATCATGGTGTGATCTTTCAAGTTTTGACTACATAAAATAAAGTTGGTAACTTTTGCTGATACAGAACTACAGCAAGCGTGCAGCCAGGTAAATGTCGATTATCTGTGATGGTAAAGAACAGTGGCACCACTTGTCACACATACAGCTCACTCTGTCGAATCACTGCTAATTTCTTGAGCCTATTTGGTGCCAATTGTATCTGGGGTTCTTGAGACACATCTCCCCATCCTGCATAAATAATCCATGCATTGGCCATAAGTGACTATATTCAGAACAGCAAAGTAAACGAATGAAATAAAACCAATAGGACTAATGCTGTCTTTTGAAAAATTTTACTTCTGATTTCTTCCATAACTTCTTTAACTTACATAAAGCAGTTAACTTACATAAAGTTAACTTCTTTAACTTACATAAAGCAGTTATCGTAAAGGTTATGAGCTGATTTGAACAAAATAATAAGAAAAGCTCCATTCTGCTTTAATTTCCATTTTATAAAAGGACTAGAACTGACACATTTAAAGCTTTTGTTTTGTAAAGTAGTGGACATTTTTGAAGTGTCTAAAATACTAGGATATTTTACACTTGGTACTTGTGGTAGTGTGAGTTTTAGTGATTGTATTAGCTTAATTGGTGATTATGAGTATCAGGAATCTGTACATGGCATCCAGCCCACTAGTGAAGTTTAAATAGGATGAAATAGGAAGAGAGATTGTGTCAGTGTCTTAACCCTTTCAACAAGACAGTTGTCTGTTTTTCTTGTCTTCCATTCTCAAAATATCAACCTTAATTTTAAATTAGGTAAATTTTTTAAAGTATATGTTGATGGGACAAGAACAATAGTATTTATTTAATCAAAGTATACTTTATATGTTATATCTGACTTCGTGTTAATTCATTTTATCTTTAAGAAAATTATCACTGCTAGAGCTAATGACTCCTGTAGAACACTGAGAAAATCTCTTAGTAAAATTATTCTTTTCTATGAAGGTTTTTGGTGTGAGTTTTGCTAAATAAATAATATGCTGCTATGTTTTCAGGGTGATAGAGAGTATTTGGCTCCAAGAAACGTTTAATTGTTTATGACAACAATATTCCAAAGTAATAGGAAATTTTTTGAGTGTTTTTTGTTAATTCAGTGAGTTAATTCAACCTAAGAACTTTACATATGACATAGGGAGAGTTCTGCTGTTATTAACGTAAAAGTTCTTCCAGTAAACAGCAAGAGAATAAAAAATATTTCAATGCTCTGTGCTATAGGCTTTGTATTATTATTTTTTTAGGATTGGTGTAAGAATTTGCAGATCAATTCTTGGAACTTTGAAAGAATAAAATGCCTTTGGATTGTTCTTGGGTATCCTCCTTTCTTGCCCATTATCTGATAAACTTTTAGGATTGTATCTAATTCCTTTTATTTGGAGGGTTTTACTTTATTGTTAATACATAAATGAAGCACAGAGATGAGATGAAAAATGTTTATTTATTGTTAATTCTTAAAATACTGTATAAATAAAATGAGTATGCTTTAAAGGAATTTGTATGTAGTGCCTTAAGTTAAAGTAAAATATATTTAGACTATGTTGTTTCATTTGTAGTTGTGACTTTATGATTTAAACATTTTATGTGAATAAAATCTACCAAAAATTTTTTACTGTAATTATTAAAGTGTGGTTTCATTGGTGATATTTTAAATTTGTCACCTTGCAAATATATATATACTGAGACAGATGTTATCACAACTTAGAAGTATTGCAAAAACCCACATAGGCACTCATTATAATTATTTTTCCCCAATCCAGATTAAGTGTATAAGATTTAGCCACATTTTTTTAAAAACTGCAAATATACAAATCTTCTTCAGGATATTATTGGAAAGAAAAGCAAGACAAATTGTGCAGAGTCCAGAACTATAATTTATTGGCCTACAGTAGAAGGGAAGAGGTTTGGAAAAGCTGATTATAAAAGTAGTAATTGATTAATTTCCTATCTTGATATTCAGTGAACATTGCTAAGAAAACAAAGGGATAAAAGGTACTTACTTTGGAAGGGAGTTTTTAAAAAATGGCAAAACTTACATACTAACATATTCATGTGAGTGTACTCATGGTTTTGACCATGGTTTTGCTGCTGAGATCCTGGGATCCAGAGTCCTTTTCCAGGTGCTGTGCTTCCTGAAGTTTGGATCCCAGCTTTGCCTTATGGGGACTGTGTTTGTATATCATTACATCCCCTCTACCCCCTGCCAGTGCATACACACCCCCACACACAACCATTGCTTGAGAATATGTCAGAATGCAGATGATTCAGTTTGGTCCTGGGGTCCTCTCTCACACAAACATGCCAATTCTTTATCCTAATGTTTGAAGTGCGTACAGGTAACTGGCTGGTATTGAAATAACTAGATCCTCTGATTCATGTCCCATGTCACAGTTACCTGGGGGGCAAAAGCAGAGTCCGTCCCCAAGAGCAAGCCAAACTGCCATGCAGGCCTTCTATCTTTCCACATAGTTTCTTTTATATTTTTGACCTCTGAAATCTCATTTCCATGGTCAGTAACCTAGTCAACTTCTCCACTGATGGTTCACAATGATGATCTACAAATTCATGTCTCCAGTTAAGACCTCCCTCTTGTGTTAAAGATCTGAATTGCTGGTCACCTGATACACATTCTTTTATTCTTTTCATATCCAACATGCTTAACCCCACCATCACGGAGGTGATGGAAAGGATCAAAGAACCCCAAAACAAAGCACGATAACCCAACTAAACAAGTAATACATATTTTATAAAGGAGTTCCTATAGATGAGGAGTCTACCCTATTTGGATCAAACCTGAAAATAAAAATGAAATGAGTAATTTCCTAGGAAAATATTGTGGAATAAAATTGACTGCAATAGACAAAGAGAAAACTAAAATGTACATAATTTCTATATTTAAAGAGAGGGATAGTTGTAAATTAGTATACAAAAGTGTAAGGTCTCAAAGGCAATGCTGTCTATAACTGTCAGATTTGGATATCAGTTTATAATTGCCACATAAAGCTGTTTTAAGTCAGATGTGGTGACAGTTCCTGTAGTCCAAGTAATTTCACTGATTAGTTCTATCACACACTTGAGGGAAAACTGAACCAGTTTTTCAGAAACTCTTACAAAAAATAGAGAAAGAAGAAACATATTCTAACTTCTCTTCTAAGGCCAGTATAACACTGGTACCAATTCCCGACAAAGATACGAAAGAAAATTATAGGCCAATATCCCTATAAACAAAAATCCTTAGCGAAATATTATCTAGTTGAACCCAACAGCATTTCAAAAGGATAATACACATTAATAAGTGGAGTTTATCACAGAAGTGCAGTATTGGTTTGATCATTGAAAATCAATCTTATCCTTCATATTAACAGAAAAAAAGAAAACTGTCAGATCAATTAATGTGGGAAAACATTTGACAAATTCAAAACTTATTTATACAAACAAATTGATCAAACTTGGAATAATGAGGGACATCTTCAAGATGATAAATGGCATCTATAAAAAAAAAAAGTGGCTGGGCGTGGTGGCTCGCACCTGTAACCCCAGTGATACCGGACTTTTGATATTGGATTTCCAGGCTCTTGGTCTCCACGATTTGATGAATGAATCCATGGACCACAGGATGAAAGTTAGGTTTTATTTAACAGGTATTACAGCTCTTAAAAAGAGCCAAACCTTGTAGAGCAGGATAAGATAGCTTTTATATAAGTGGCACAGCTCTTACAAAGAGCCAAACCTCCTTGCAGGGCAGGATACAAGTGTTATAGTTCTTGCAAAGAGCCAAACTTCCTTACAGAGCAGGATGCAAGTGCTACAGCTCTTACAAGGAGACAAACTTCCTTGCAGAGCAGCATCTAAGTGTTATAGCTCTCTCTCCCCTCCCCCTG